AAAGGGGAGAGAGAGAGAGGGAGAGAGAGGGAGGGAGGTGGTTTTTCAGCTCCCGTCCCCATCTAAAACGGCTACGGGCTTACAACGAATGTTTGTTTTAACCTTGGCTAAGTTTCAGCCTGGCGAGACGACAAGCGGGCCACGGCCTGACCCGCCCGCCTCACCGCAGACATCTTCCCCACTGCGCCACCGCCCGCATCATAGAACGGCAAGATTTCCAGCCTCGCCGGGAGGCCCGAGGCGGCCCATATCGAAGCACGCGCCGCGGAGCTCTGCTTTGAAGCCGGATGATTGCCAAGTACTGCCTCTGGCGAGACAGCGTCCATCGAGATGGTGAGGACGCCGACGGCGCTGGCGATCTCAACAGCGTTGGTGCACTCAGTCACAGGTGAAAGCCACAGCTCGGGTCTGAAGGCAGGAGAGCAGAGAGGAGCACAACAGAGCAAAGCAGAACCGAGCAGAGCAGAGCAGAGCCGAGCAGAGCCGACCAGAGCACAGCAGAACCGAACAGAATAGAGTGCAACAGAGCAGAGCAGAGCAGAGCAGAACACAGCAGAGCAGAGTAGAGCAGAGCATAACGCAACAAAGCAGAGCAGAGCAAAGAAGAGCAGAGTAGAGCAGAGCAGAGTAGAGCAGAGCAGAACGCAGCAGAGCAGGGTAGAACGCAGCATAGCAGATCAGAGCAGAACGCAGCGGAGCGGAACACAGCAGAGCGGGGCAGAACGCGGCAGAGCAGAGCAGAGCAGAGCAGAACGCAGCAGAGTACAGCAGAGCAGAGAACAAAGTAAAGCAGAGAGGAAGGCAGCAGAGCAGGGCGGAATGCAGCAGAGCAGAGCAGAACGGAGCAGAGCAGAGCAGAACGCAGCAGAGCAGAGCAGAGCGCAGTAGAGCAGTGCAGAACGCGGATGAGCGGAGAAGGGAAGAGCAGAGCAGAGCAGAGCAGTCTAGCCGCAGCAAAATGACGCCGAGTTCGAGACGCCCCCTCCCGCCCATCGCTTTTGCATACCGCCCATGGCTGGCGGCGGGCTGGCGGCTCGGCCGCCGGCGGCTCTCCGGGGAAATTTGGCCGCGGAAGACGACGCCTCTGCCCGCCCGTCAGCATCGGAACGGGTCTCCCACGGCGGCGGGGACCGCAGAACGAGGCGGCGCGGCGCCCGCGCGCCTCGGGGCGCTCTCGACCGCAAGGCGAGGCGAGCGGGCGACGGCGGTGACGACGTAGGTCGAGCGGTCCCCGACGGCGATGATCAAGTAGGCCTGGCTGCCTCCGACGCGGCGGTGAGCGAACAAGGTGCGTGACAGCGGGGGGCGGGGCAGTGTCGATCGTTGGTATGAGTCTGAAAGTAGTTCTATGATGTTGGATTGAAGGAACTGACGGGGAGGAGGCTTGCCCCTTATTTCATTTTAAAAATGGAACTCGGCGTATGTCGTTACCACTCTTTTATGGAGCGCCAGGGAGAACAATACCCATATTAGCGCTTCGTGGTCACGGCACAACCGGCACTTGAACCCGTGTCCTCACGTGGGAGCCTGGCGCGCTAACCACTCGGCCGTTACGCCAACACAATGATGCTTGCCCCCATCCCCCCTCCTCCCCCGCGCCCCGAAATGCCAGTGAGCATTTCCACGATCCTGTGATCTGGCATACTGTCGACGTGCTCAGGAAAGCGTGATGGCGGAGGACCGCCCTCGCAGTATTTCGGAGCACACTGTGCTGGAGGACTGGGATGGTTTGGACAGATGGTGATCCTCTTAGCCAGCCACCAGACATATGCGAACAAGATCGCAGGCGTGTGTGAACAGGAAAGGCCGCCCATGCCACTGGCCAGATACACAAGGTACGCTCATAAGGTCCGACACGACTGAGAGCCAGCAGCCTGATCGTGTGTTTTCGGAGCGTTCGCGACTTGTGTGCCATTGATGACCACTTTTCAGCACACAACTTTAAGCTCGTCATTTAGCCAAGGTATCATCGCCTCGGTTAAAGACACCCAGATCACTAAATCCAGGCATGCTCTCACGATGACTGAAATTATGCTTGAAATGATTTCATGGTAGGTAGCTGTACATCATGACCGGTACGTACTCATAACAAGACGCTAGCTATTGCTGCAGAAAGTCAATAAAGCTGGCCGGAATGTGGCCATATTAAAACTTGTCGGACAAAATCAAATTAAAAATAGCAATGAATCTAAATAAAATGACCAATCTTGTCTCGATACTACACGTTACTACTGCCACGCCTGGTCCCCCACGGCACTGGTCGCCGCTGAATCGGCGAACAAGATCTGACCAGCTGCCTACCCGATGCAGGATTCGTATTTGGACCGGACAAAGTCGCAGCCCGCAGCTCAGGCAAGCCGCCGTCACCACAGGTGACGTGGAGCAGGACCGACAGCTTCTCCGCGACGGAGGCGAGAATGGTGCTGCAATGGCCGAGCCCGTTGTACAATTATTTGCTGAAGGTTTACTCCGGTTGGTCCCCGAATTGCAGGGATGGTTTTGAGCAAGTTTTTGGGCCCGAATGCGGGCTGAGACAAGCTCTCTGTCAGTTCCTGCACTCATGGACCCATAAGCTCACTCAGCAGCCCAGTTTGATCCATGAAAAGCAACGCTTTGCAAATGTCGTTTATGCACACATTCGCAGCAAGCAAGGTGATCGCTCTTTTCGGGCACTGCAAACAATCCTACCGAGGGTATACACCATGCCCTGTTGACATCCTCGGATGCAGGAAAGAGACGTCTCGCCATCGCCATCGCTGTCGCCATTGCCATTGCCATCGCCATCGCCAGAGACGGGCGATAGCTGTCATTTACAGCCGACTAACGTCATTACTGCAACAGCCGTTCATGGATCAGCGAGATAATGGAATACCTACGCCAGGGAATCATTCTATCGCGTTGCACGGCAGCGTGCAAATCACCGGGACATTTCCGCTCCGTCGCGCTACAATGGACGCCTGACTGTAACGCGCAGGAAGCACTCAATACCCTCTGACGCGCCTGCTGGACGTAAAGAAAAGATAACTGGAAAGTCAGCGAGCTGGACAGAACGAAGAGCGGTCGGCGCGGATCAGAACAGAGACGACCATCTTGAAAGGGGAAAATGTTTAGCATGACGCTGAATGGAGCATTCAGTCACCACGGATTACTGAACAGTAGATTAGCGCTCGGCGCAGGTGAGACAGGAGGTGGCGGGCCCGACAGGGCTAGGTGCTTGCTCCCTTTGCTCCGTCCGTCAGAAAACTGATGACCAATTTCGCTGGTTCGAACTGCAGTCGACAGCATAGGACCTTGAGAGCTAGACGGCACGGCGAGTGGTGCTGCACTGCTCAACTGCTCCACGGCGACGGTTAATGTCATGGGCCTGGTAAGGTTAAAAAATTTCGGTACGTTCACAATTACTTATGACTGGCATGCACAAACTGGCCTAACCACCACCGGCAGGTCACAAATGCGCTGGCATGATGACTGGATTGACTCAATCGATCACAGCGTTATAACATTTGTTTCTATTTGATGACCTGATGACCTGGAGTCCAGGGTGACCTGGTTTTGAACCCTGCTGGCTTGCGGAGATATATTTGTCCAAACCCATTGTCAGGAGTACGTCACCAGGCAAGCAATACCAAAAATAATACGCCAGGCTCCAATCCACATTCCCTCAAGTCCTGCTGCCAATTCGGAATAAAGCATTTTGAACTCACCTAGAATGAACGGGTCCACCAACTAGGCGCTAAGGATCCCTTCGCTGTTCATTCAAGTATACCGAGCGTTAATGACCCAAGTCGCTACTGCACGGACTCGGAAGTCACTCCACCAAAGTCGAGAGGGAGGCAAATGAAGCATCCCCAGAACTGGCGGATTAAAAAGCAATGTCAGCAAGCTTTCTTCAGGGCGGTGAAATCTCCTCTTCCAAGATTTCCCAGAATGTTTGGACTCTTATTTATGAGTCAGTTTCATAGTTTAATTCAGGGCTCCCTCGACAACCACCGCCGCGTTTCCTCCTGAATTCGACGAAAGTTCATCAGCTCAGATATTGAAAATCTAACTGCTCAGCGAAAGGACCTTTCCAAGAACCTTTCAGAAACACTCAGTGGGACACAGCGCAATTTAACTTCGTCGAAGACGCATCTGTAATTCCTGATCTGTCCGAGTCCGACGGCAGCAGCCCGCCCACTTCCTTCCCATTTGACTAGAATTCAGCAAATACCGAGAGCACCAGGCCGTTGAGCTGCGGACAACGCCAACACGTCACGACGGAGGTGAATAATGACGATTACTGGGGCCTCAGACGTCGCGTTGAGGGGCGGGAAGCATCACTGCACGCATGGAATTACGCCACCGGGCTACGGGCGAGCGGTCTGCCGACCCCAGGCCGGGGTCAGGGGGGAGGGGGAGGGGGTGACTCACCCTGGCCCGTTCCTTTAGCTCCATGATGTCGGTGCCCTCGGGCGGCACGGGCACGTTGTAGAACTCGCCTTCGTCCTGCGTCAACAGCTTGAACCAGCCGTCCACCGGCGCCTTGATGACCTCCGAGATGCCTGTCGCAGAGGGCACGTCTCGTCGGAGATGGATTGTGCCGCGAGTCACCAATGGCAGGCGAGGGGAGACCAGGGCACGAAGCGTACTCTGTACACGTATGCTTTGTACACGTAGACACGCGTACTACGCATCACACGTCATCGAATCCCACAATGAGGAACAGCGTTGCTCTGGCAATGAAATACATGCCAACTGCTTGAGAACGAAGCTCAACTTTCTTTAGCCGGAGTTTGTGAGTTGGTGCGCGGTGGCAGGCTTCATCATTTCATTGGACAACTTGAGGAGATATCGTTTAGGGGATGATTCGCATCTATCACAGGTCTCGTATTCGGGCGGACCAAGCGGCGTCGAAATTTAGAGGGCCGAAATGAAAGACGAGCCAGAGCCGAGCCGTGCTCATTCCAGAGATGACCCCCCTCCCCCCCCCCCCCCTACCAATAACCGGGAGCGTCCAGCACAGAAGCGTCCCCGAGAGCAGTCTGAGGACAGATGATCAGACGCTGTGACATTGCAGGGAGAATAGGTCTTCAGCGCATCATCAGGTCACATGATGCCACCGTTTGAACATGTACTGGGGAAAAGGCCAAGACAAAACAACGCTGACCTGGGCCGCAGAAGACAAAACGAAAGTCATGTGGTCATACAAGCAGCGTTTCCTCACAGATCAAAGGTAGAGTACCTGTTCTTGTACGATGGTTTTCTCAATTCAACAGCATGGCCGTAACATCAAAACTCGCAGCAAATTGAGGGAGGGGCTTGTAGTAACCTCCGTACCGTACAGCGGCAGTGCCCGCGCGTACTAGGTCAGCTAAACTTTCACTGATCTGACAATACGGTAACGATGCGGTACGTTTCGGCTGACAGTACTAGGCATCCCGCCTGGGCTGACGGCCTTTGAACTGCGAGACCGCGTGGCCACGCCACCCGGATATGCGTGAGGCACCCCGAACAGACTCCCAAGAACGGCCTCTCACGAAGCCGCGGCGGACAGACAGCTGGTTACGGGTCACAAGTCCACGTTGAAATATCCAGAGCTCGTAACGGCGCGGAGACATCCCCCCTAACATGCCGCTATAGTTTCCGAATGCCCCGATGCTGACGACGTCAGACACTGACTGCCGTTACATAAGCCTATGCTGATCATAATTGCACGCCATTGTTTTCTATGCTCACCAACAAGCCCCATTACAATGAGCTGAATGTAGATGGTATGTTGATTTACATGCGTTGCGTTCGGTACGGTACAATCTAGTGAAGCTGGGCTTTCTTTAGTTCGGCGAAATAAGGCCAGGCAGACACATGAACCGTTGCCGAATCGGAAAGCGCTGCTGTTTTGCTAAACTGGGGCCGATGGGTCCGCAGGCCTGTTTACCGAAGCTGAGTGAGCCCATGAAGTCGTTCCGCGACGTTCGGTCCCAATCCCAGACTTCCGACCAGCAGTCGGCGGTCCTTGTCCTCCTGGCTTCAGGTCACTACCGCAGGTCAAGGTCACGCGTTAGACAACCGGGGCGCGGGCGGCGCATGTGCGACAAGTGAGCACCCGCGAGGTGAGCACGTGCGACAGGTGAGCACATGCGACAGGTGCTCGCTGGGGGTCACCAGTGAAAGGGGGTCACATTACCGTCGCCCAGTGAATTCGGGCATTTCAGCGCAGCAAATCAAATGACACGAGCGTATGATGGCAGGGAGAGAGAGGTACGGGAAGGGGGAGGGGCCAACAGCAGATCAACGACCCTGGGACAAACGTTCCACCGCGGCCGCGACCCTTGTCATCGTTCGTGCCGCATCGAAAAACGGCGTTCCGACGGGATACACTTAAAAAAGATGGGGTTCGTTTCCCGTTTCACTCACGGTGAGAATCGTGACAGAGCATAACAGCATGACAATGTGAGGAATAGACGAAATGTGGCAGCTGGAAGGAAGAATAATCAGCAGGTAAACTGGCAGCCCGCACGGGAGCCAGCCTCCGTCCAGCGTTGCGGGAGTCGCTACCCCACGAGCCAGTTTTTTGCAGTCTGAGCCCCAGCTTCAAGGTCATTAAAAGGGGGTCACCTGACGTCCTCTGGACTGACCAAACAAGGTATCCAACCCTTTAAATGGGCTCTGACAGTTAAAACATAATAATTGATAATATTGTACCCGTACCAGTCAGGGGCATTGTGGTGTTGTGCAGAAAGTCCGATTCCAGCATTTCTATTTTCTATCCACTTGCAAGCGCAATTGTACCGCCGCCTGACCCCTGCCGGTGACTCACATGGTGAACGTCTCGTTCCACACGGGGTTCAGCGAGGTCTTGATGGTCTTGGTCTTGCGCTTGGAGCAGTCCTGGTCGGGGATCAGCTTGAGCTTGACGTAGGGGTCCGAGTAGCCGTTCGGGTCCATCGGGATCAGGTTCTTCCCCTGACGAACTGGAAAGAAGGTAGCGCGTTAGGACACGGCTCTGGTCAATTATCGGGTGATCATTACAGTTGATCACGAAATGGTATGCGCGCGCATAATGGCTTCGGAAGGCCAGGCAGCCAGCTGGCCAGACAAGAAGGCCGCCATAAGGTCCGTCGCCATGTGCAAAATGTAACTGTCGAGTCACAATCCGACAATGACGTACTGAACAGCATATTACTAAATAGAGAAACTCCGTTGTCTAGAGCAGTCTGTGTGTCATTGGCGCTTTACGACGCACTCCGCTGCTGAGGCTATATGGCGTCGCCTGCCTCTAACCCTGGCAAGAAGTGCGAGCACCGCGGGGAATCGAACCCCGTACCCCTGGCTTCCCAGACGCGCAGTGGCTAACGCAGATGCATTAACCACTGACGCGTTAACCACTACACTGCCGGCACCCCATCTAGAGCAGTCGTTTCCAGTTAAAAGTACACCAATCATTACTAAGCGAGCTCATTTCATCACTATCTCATGCTTTCTTCCACAGCCTAAAATATAGAACATTCCCTTCAAGCAGTAATGAGCAGTAAGAGATACGTGTCATGGGTAGTTGGTCAAGTCCTTCAATGTTATGTCCAAGGCAAGTGTTGAGCGGCGAAGATAACATTCAATATTTGCAATTCATGTTGACGAAGTCTGTTGTGAGCTGTTGTTATCGACCGAGATGATGTAGGTGGAATATCCCATTGCTTGAATACCACCCAGTGGAATACCACCCAGCACCAAATGGACCACTCAGTGCCACCACACTTCGTTAGGGCGGTGTTGATTCTGGGCTCATTACGGACTGACACCCAGGTCCGATCGCTAGGCATGAATATTTTCGGGCCGAGTCAGATTCATCCTCACCTACGCCTGAGCCTGAGCCAACGTTCGAGCCCTTAGCTTCATGAACAAGTGAGCCCACTTGATGTAGGAGAGGAATACTTCGAGCTCCCGGCCTTTTGGCACTACGGGTTCAGAGTTTCTATGCCGACAGGTGTTGACCAGCAATATAGCAAGCCGTACCGGAACATTGAAGGTCTGCTAACTGGCAGCAAAGAGCTAAATTCATAATGGCAAGTGAGTTCGAGCCTAATTCACTTGTGAACTGAATGCGTTAATTTCATCCGAGACTGAAATATTCATGGGCTCCGCCTCGATTCTACGTCCGGTTAGGCTCGGACCCATGATCGCTTTGTTGCGCTGCGTGCTCTGTTTGTTTTTTAGCTGCCCAAACCTGTGTTTGGGTTGGGCAAGTTCCAAACGTTTGCAAAGGCTGTCAAAAGCCCAGATTATTTCCCTCCAGCATCGCCACGCCATTAACGCGCGCCCGGCCGGGGGTCTGAGACAACCGCGCCCAGCCGAGGGGGGGGGGGGGAGTTGACTTCCCTCCTGAGATCTCAAACTTCCGGAAGCCGTGTGAAAGAAACAAAACATGCCGTTTCGAAGGCCTCCTTAAATCATAAAGAATGCAACTCAAATGTTTGATCTCGGTCAAATCAGTGACCGTGAGAGGTCAAAACGGTCGTTGCAGTGGATGTAGTTCAGACCTCTGTTAGCACGTCAGGACAGATATTGAGGGCACGGAGATAAGCGTAAAAACTGTAGGGAGCCTATTCCGACCATTTCTGTCCCCCACATCGGTCAGATTAGGTCAGGTCACAGTTCAATATTTGGTCTACCAGTAGCCTACAAGAAGGAAACTTTTCTTCACAATGAGCTTCTGAATTTATTTTATTAGGTGCAGCTGTGGAAACAAAGGTATTCCAGGCAGAAACATATCAATTTAGGGTGACCTCGATGTCATCTGGCTTTGCCATCTGGCTGTCCCGATGGCTCAGTTGGTTAGAGCGCCTGCCTTCCGATTCAACCACCCGTGCCGGGTTGAGTTCGAGTCGCTTTAGGCGTTCTTTATTTGCCCTTGACAGATATGGCCTGCGGCCGATAGCAGCGGCCGCAACAAAGGTCAGATGACGTCAGACAGAAGGACGGTAAGTGCCGAGCATTGCGGCACGGTTAAGCCTTCGCCACCGAATTCTACCGTTTACACGGTATTGTGTGATCGGATGGTAAGGGGTCAGGGCATACAAAACAAGCACCTGCCTAGCGTAAGCTCTGATCTCAGAAATTCGTCCATCCAAAAGGTTCGGAGTTGATATCTAATAAATAGATGGACACCTCGCGTGGCCAATATGCGGCAGGGATGCAGTTCGCTTTCAAAAAAGTTGTACCGATGATTATTCTTAGCTGATCGTCCACACGTCACAGCGTGTACGGCTCATGCGAAGAACACTGTCCGGTAAATAATCTAAACAGCACGAATGAAGCGCAAGTTGTGCTGGCTCGCCTTGCAATTTGGATCAACATTGGTTGGACACAACTCCAAAACGCATTGCCTTAACAGTAGCAGGGATATGTTTTCACTAGTACCCAGCCGGGTAAACAGCTTTGGTAACTTTCTAAGGAAAAGCATCCAGAAAAACTCTAACCTAGAGCTTTTTTGCAAGGAGAGGAAAGAGCGGTCAACAAGCATCAAGCTCAAAACTTCTCGTGCGTTAAGCGGCCAGGCCAATAAACTAAAACCGATCCGCGAGGCGCTGTGGGATGGCCAGCCCAAACTACCACTTCTCGAGGCAAATCGCGGCCACTCGGGTCACCAAACCCACCCAAAGTTCGGCCCACAGCCCAAGTCGACAAAGCCGCCCGCTCCGCCCGAGACGGCACGTGCACTCTGTGATGCTGCGGCTCAAGGCTCCACCTCACATAAGACGTCGGTCCCTCCATCGAGACGTTTCTCTTCCCAGTGCGCGTACCGCGCCGCCGCAGCAATAATTTGACGTCGCAGTCTGCGTGTCATCATCTTCAATCTCGTTCTGGTGATGGACAACAGTGCGACGCTCGCCCCCGGCCAGCGCGACCATGTCCGTTAGGAAAGTTTGGAAAGTTATCGGCGAACCGCTTCGGCGGCAAACGACCGAACTTTCGATGCAACTTGCGCTGAGCCGTCGGGCCTAAAATGTCACTGCCGCGAGTTGCGGCAATCTACTACGAGAAAATGAATTGAAAGAGTCGACTTGGTGTCCGTTGCAACAAATCAACGCCTCCGACCAACTTTCTCCCTTTAGCAGTTAACCGACTGCTACATTGCTGCGACTGCTACATTCCACAGTAACTAGTTAACGGATCGGCTTCGCTCATTCAGGCAGGCAACGAGTGAACGGCTGCACGCATCCAGCTGCAATAGAGCGAGCAACTGGGCCCGGGCAGCGTTGCAATGAGGTGAAGCAAAAACCAAATACTAAATGAATAAATGAACCTCCAAGCGCATGGCCAGTAGTCACGACGGCACAAGATGGCCGACAGATACCGCTCGGCTTCGGTCCTCGCATATTTTGACAACTGCTGGAAAACTGCATCACAAATCGGCAACAAGGACACATAAGAATATAAAAACAGCAACATGCAAAGTCAAGCGCTACCCACGTTGAACTGCAATATATATATTCAACTGAAAACACCCTCTCGAGTGAATGAGAGAGTAATTTACTACCAGGACAAAAAATCCCCACGGAATGAAGCCCGTCGCATTTAACCAGTTGCAAATCTTATCAAGTTCTTCTTAACTCTTGAGCGTAGGCGAAAGTGCGGGAACATCAAATAGCTGGATTCAAATTAAACGGTTGAACAGCATGCAAATTGCACATTACGAAGTCATTGAGTTTGCCGAAACTCATTAATTCGCCGACATAGGCACACGGCGTGGCATTAGTCCATTTAGGTGACGGATTCAGCGAGAATCGTAGCAGAGGTCCACACATTTGTTGTTTTCACTGGTGGGCGTGTTAGTATACGTCAGCAACTAGAACCCCTTTGGTTCGTTGGTAAGTCCTCGATCTCTCTGAATTATACTGGATCTGGTCTCAGTTCAAGTTAATGCAAGAACTTGCCGCAGACGCAGCCATTTTCGACATGCTTGGTGTTTTTTAAAGATGCAAGCTCGCGTAATATTGTTCTTTTAAAGGGAATACGATGCGTGTCGTCACGCAACTTTGTATATAGCGACTGCAGTAGCGATGTTAGCGCTCAGGGACCATGGCGCAACCGGGATTCGAACCCCCGCCCCAAATGGTGGTCAAAGGCTCTAAACATCAGCCATTAAGGCCCCTAGCTTACGTAGCCATCCAAGGCTTCCCTCGCACACAGCTAGGGCCCATGGTGCATGTTCGTCGATTTCGTTGAAGACTGCATTGATTTGGTTCATTGCCATGACTTAATTTGTGAACTACTGATGGTCCATTAGCAGCAGCGGGGCCCGTGGTGGCTCCGTGTCCAACTGTCCGACAGATGACAGCTTGGACTCCTAATATTTATTGTGAGTTACGACCTCGATGGCAGCACGCGTGTATTAATATTAATATTAATTAATTTATTATTAATTTCCGAATATTAATTTCCTTGGACAGCTGCAGTGAGCTTGTCATTTCCGTCCTAGCAATCGTCCATCCGCTGTTTCCGTTTGATGGGGCTTGCGGCACGAGACCGCAGACCCGGATTCGCTCTCGCCACACTTTCCATCGTTCGCAGTTTCTACCAAACGGCTGTTTACTCAGTTTAAGGAGCAGCTCGCATTTAGCCGTCGCCCCTCTGAAACAGCTGTTATCGCTGCCACTGCCAGTCAAGTGAGTGCTCCTCCGGCAGTCCAGATTATGTGTGATGTGATGCATCACACGCGATTATCATCATCATCACAACGGTATCACTACGTGATACTGCACAGACCTCCCTGCCCCGGCGGAGACCGTGCCCGGGGGCAGAATCTCCTTCAAACCACATGCAGGTTGCAATTGGCGTGCTCTGGCCGCCACGTGAACACGTGACCGCGCGCAGACCGGAAGCCGGCCGTTGTCATGGCAGCGTGGTGCCGCCTCGCCACTTCCGACCAATCAAAGCGCACAGCACACCATGCTCTTCTACTTGGTCTCGGTAT